ACAATGCAATTCTTCTGAATTCTACTTGATATAACAGTTCAAGGTCTGTCAGGTTGTCCAAGGATCGGTTGTGAGCAGCTCTTTTCAAGTCCTGCCACAAATTGTTGATTGGAATGAGATCTGGGCTTTGACCTGGCCACTCCAGAACATTCACCTTGTTGTCTTTGAACCATTTCTGTGTAGCTTTTGCTGTATGCTTGGGGTTTCAGAATAAATCTTCTCTCAAGTGGTAGTTCTCTTGCAGACTGAGTCAGATTATCCTTCTAGATCTGGCGATATTTTTCAGCATTTATGTTCCCCTCTACCTTTACAAGCCTTCCAGGGCCTGCTGCTGAGAAGCATCCCCACATCATGATGCTGCCACCACCATGCTTCATGGTGGAGATGGTGTGTTTGTGGTGATGTGCAGTGTTTGGTGTTTGCCAAACATAGTGTTCAGTCTGATAGCCAAAAAGCAAAATCTTTGCCTCATCAGACCAAAGAACCTTCTTTCAATTGACCTGGGGTTCTCCCACATGCCTTTGGGTGAATTCCAGGTGAGAGTTCATATGAGCTTTTTTTTAACAGTGGTTTTTTCTTTGCCACTCTCCCATACAGCTTAAACTGGTGAAGAACCTGGGAAACAGTTGTTGTATGTACAGTCTCTCCCATCTGAGTCACTGAAGCTTTAAACTCCTTTGGAGTGGTCGTCGGCATCTTGGTGGCCTCTCTCACCAGTCTTCTTCTTGCCCGGTCACTCAGTTTGTGAGGACGGCCAGCTCTAGGCAGATTTAAACAAGGGACATACTCCTTCCATTTCCTAATGATGGATTTAACTATTTAGTCATTGGGCTTTCCATGATCGTTAATATCAGATATTCTGATAATATTAAGAAGACATTTGCACAAGCATTTGTCCACTTTGAATGTAAGATAGGACATATTATATAGTGAGAAACCTGAGCATATTATATACAGTATTATTTACATGAATATACCAAAAAAGTACTAAAAGAGCATGTGTGCAGTCTGTTTCTTGTATGAATTTATGTTATTACAGAGTCTTCTCTTTCTATATTTGTATTTTACAGAGAATTGTGTATTCAAAATATAGAGGGTGCAATACAGATGCTATGATTTATTGTATTTTGTTTTTGCTTTGTGTTTTTATCTGTGTTGTTGGTGAGAATTTATATAAAAATAAAAGCTGTAACTGTTGCTAGGCAATGGGATGATGGCATGTCAGATATGAAACTTTCGAAAATATTTCATCTCAGGTCTGAATGATATGGTGATGTATGGTGACAAAGATGGTTGTTGTCTCTCTTGGAATGAGGATGCATGTGCTCCATTGTTGTAGATTGCAGTACGTGATTGTAATGATCATATGAAAAGTTGATTCTCTCATAGCTTCTTAAGAATGCGTTTGCTGCTTTGTAAGTGACAACAGAGCTTAATTGTTTGTGCCAAGCATTCTCACAACTGAACTTTTGTTTCACGTTTCCTGGGGACTTACCCCGTCATACTTATCACCTCATACTGGGATAATATTAGTTTAATATTCCATTACATGTAATTTGTGACTTAACTCTGTGTTTTCCTGTGACATCTCAACCATAATAGGATGCGGAAAAGCAAGACATTGATGCATGCATCTCTCAGTGTTCAAATAAAATGAAAGTAGACGTACACATTGTGGTTCTTTTCCAATAACCATACTATCATACTATACAGTACACCAGAAAAAGATTTAATATGTCCCCAACATAGAGTGTGTCCAATGCCATATGCTGAAGATACCAGGATGTCCGACTACATCTTATGTGATTTGCAGTAATCAACGCAGACAGCAGATTTCACACTGCAGACTGTGAATAATCTGTGAGCATGATGGTCAAACCGTAAGCGATATTATGACCAAGTAGTGTGTCCCAGTTGTATCACACTGCATGCAACAGTACATGCTTTGTAAGGGCAGCTGCAACTGAAAGGCAAAAACAACTATGTGATTTAGAATCAGGGGATGTTTGACATGAACGCTGTTTTGCTGTGGAACCACTGGATGGCAGCATCTTCCAGAACATTCAGTCTGTACATGCAACGTTTGTTCCCCTGCATTCAAACAAACCAAACTCCATGTTCAGCTTTTGTTGTTTAGAGCTTGTGGTGTTGTTGGATTGTATTGTTGATCCAGACTGGTGTTTCCTCTGTACTGTTATTTGGATAAGTAAAGATGTTTTGCAATGAGTTTTAATAGAAACTTGAGATTATGATTGTGTAGAATTTATTTCAGGTTGGTTGAAACTGCAGTGAGTTTTCAGTTTGGATGGACTTGAGAGTAAATCATCGATGACAGCAGTGAAGTTGTTTTCCTCAACTGTAAGAGTGAACAAGTTAACATCAGGTGTAGTTACATTAGAACTTAAATCATTGAAGAGGATGTTTGGATGGAAACATGCTCCCTCAGTACTGTGTGACTCAGTAGTGTTCTAACAATGGATACTTGTGGTAATAGACGCTGTTAGCTCATAATGCAGTGCACAGTGGAAATAAAAGAAGTGACAACTGTAGAAGAGTGACAACACTGTTGACAGTATTGAAACGGTTTTGATTGAAGAATGAAAAATATTGCATTTGTGGGAAAATGTATTTTTACACTAAACTTACCAAATTTGACACGTCCAATAGTGTTTTAAAGTTCTAATTTTGTGGCCAAACTTCTAAATTGTCTCTGTGGTAGCTGTACAGTCCACCTGCAACAACTATTTTGTCCATCTGGGGGCAGCAGAAACAACCTATAACCACTGACATACTTTCACCTTTTATATCAGTATGTAAACAGTTGTTTATTTACACTTTCAGCAGTCACAGAGCAAAATCAACTCTGATCTGGAGTCATGTTCATGTTTGCCTGATGAATGTAAGCACAGTTTTAACTTATTCTCACTAAGTATCTCTGTTTGCTAAATGCTGCACAGTGTTCACAAACTGTCTCAATGTGTCCATCACTACAAAAGACACCTTTTACATTTGATATATTGTTGTGAAAATACTGAGTAAAGACACTTTGAGCATTGATTTCTCATGCAATACATTTATTCGATTCCCACACATGATCATTGTACATTTATAATCAATCCCACCAAATATATACACATTGCTGTACTCTTAATCTTGAAAAAAAGAATAAAGAACAAAAATCAATAACAGAAGGTTCTTGTAGGTTGTCTCAAAAAAATCAGATGCCACAGTTTTTCTTGCTTTTGGCTTGTTTAGACAACACATCATAAACATGGAGGAAAGTCTGTTACACTGACATGTACACATTTTTCATTCCCAGATTTTTTAAAAACAAAAATGTTTACCTAGTACATATCTTAATGTAGAAATGTTTTGCATGCACCTATAACAAAACTGCAAAAATAAAAGAATAATGATGCCATATCAGAAAACATGTGTGTCACTTGGCCTGTATTGGTATGTCAACTTGAAAATAAGGGAAAAATGTAATAACAAAAGTTTTTTTTTAAAATTACATTACAAGTACATTGTACAAGCACATTGTATTTTCAACTTCTTCGTAGGTTATTGGGCAGCTGTGGTGGTAGAGTGGTTCTCCTCTGATCAGACGGTCGGTGGTTCGATCCCCCGTCCCTCCACAGTCGAAGTGTCCTTGAGCAAGACACTGAACCTGAAGTTGTTCCCAATGGCAGACAGCATGGCAGCTCTGTCTCCATTGGTGTATGAATCTACTCTCAGATATACGTTGCTTTGGATAAAGTGTCTGCTAAATGAAACTGTAAAATTGTAAATTATTGTCTGAAAACATCACATGCCAGATTTCCATGCTGTTGGCTTATTGACACAACACATAGTCTACATGTGGAACAGAGTCTGTTACATCAACATACACATTTCTTATTCACTGACTTTGATCAAATATACATCATAGTTGAAAAAGGTTTTGCATGGACTTAGTAGAACTAAAACTGTAGAAATATTTAAAAAATAGTGACATATCAGAAAATGTCTGTCTCAAATGGACTGTGTATATGCATATCAACGAAAAAAAGAAATACAATTTTGGATGAAAAAAACTGTAAAGAAATTAGATAGTAAATAACAATAAATCATAAATGAAATGCCAACATATTATTTTGTCTTTGGCTTGTTTAGACAATACTTATTCAACATGAGCAACAAAGCCTGTTAAGTCAACATACACAGTTTTTAATTTACTCTGGTTTTTTTTTTTCTTTAAGCAACAAAACTGAAGAAATATTTGAAAGAAACAGTGACATTTTAGAAAATGTCTGTCTCACATGGCCTGTGCATATGTATATCAACTTGAAAAAGGCACAAAAAAAGAGAAAAGAAATCCATAAAACTAAAAAAGACAAAACAAAACAACATATTTACCAGATTTTCAACCTTTTTATCAGGTATTGTCTGAAAACATCAGAAGCCACAGCTTTTCTCATTGTTGGCTTGTTCAGACAACACATTATAAACATGAGCAACAAAACAACACAGATTATGATATAAAAATGTTTTGAATGAACTTATCAGAAATAAAACTGTAGAAACACTTAAAAAATAGTGACATTAGAAAATCTCTGTGTCACACATTCTGTGTATACATGTATATCACCTTGATAAAAGGAAAATAAAATTGTAATTATTAAACGTTGAACAGAAAAAGATCATTTAGATCAGCATACATATTTCCTATTGGCTGGACTGATTGACTGATTGTGTTTTATCAAATAAACTCAATATAAACATGTTTTACATGTAAATATTAATAATAAAATGAAAAAAAGTGATATCCTAAGATAGTGGCATAAAGAACAGTCTCTGTCTCACATGGCCAATAAGTAAACATGACCATCAACAGCATCAGCATCATTGTCTTCACCACTCGCTGTTATGTATGAAAACAAAGAAACCTTCAAAGACAACAATCATCAAAACAGAAATTAAAACAATATGAAGAAAATAACAAAGTCTGAGATACAAAACATATTCTCAGATTTTTATCAACTGTCCAGCTGTACAGTAAAAATCTTGTAAGTTGAAACGCTGTTTTGTCTGAAGATTTTTGTTCTGATTCATTCACACCATGTTGAATGCTTCTTTTAAGCCTTTCAGAGCTTGTTCCTTTGTAATGCTCCTCCAGGCCTTTGGAACATCAGCTGGCTTTGCTTTATATTCTTCAGCAAATTTGTCATTGTACTGTACCAGGACATACTTCCAGTAGTCAGATGCCTCTATGGTGGGATCTGGAGGAATGTGCCAGTCTGGATAGTATGTGGTGTACTGTTTGTACGGATGGAACTCCCATTTAGTGTCTGTGTTTCGGAAACTTCGTTCACTGTGCACATCAGTTGTACACAGTGTTTCCATCAGTTTACCACTGTCTACATAGTGGTATCCACCCAGACCTTGTGGCCGATGCAAAGCTGCATGATGCTGCTTGTGCTCTTTGCCTCCAGCCTCACAGGGAACTTTACAAAATGGACATTGTTGTCCACAACCAAACACTCGTTTAAAAAGCTCATCTTGTGGTTTGATGGGAAGTTTGGCAAGAGTCTTGATAATGTCTTCAGATTTCCAGAGATCCTGCTGCAGTTGTGCTTTTAAGTCCTCTATTGCATGCTTGAGGCTGTCAATAAATGGATGACATGTGCTTTTGATTTGAAACAGGATGGTTTTCTCATCCTCCACTGAAAGTGAGATATCTTTAATCAGATATTTGCGCATGTTGCTGATGAGCTCTTTGATGCTTTCTGTGTTATTTGGCAGCAGAACACCATTCTCTCCCTTTGAGGCTTGTTCAAGGGCTTCTGTTACTTTTTTAACAATGATCTGTAGATTCTTGTTCTTCAATTTGTACAAACTCTTGTCCTCAGACATTTTCTGCTGAATGTGCTGATATATCCAGTCCTTCACATAATTTTCATAGTTACAGATGTACTTGACAAAACTCTTGAAGTCTTCTTTATGCAGTAGCTCTTTCTGAATGTTGTACTGGAAGAAGGAGCGGGAACTGTACTGTACTGAATGGCTGCTTGACAACATTTCTTCCACAATGTCTATTCCCAGAGATCTGTTGATGTAGTCTTCCACAGCAGGTTTGATGCAAAATCTGGCAAAATCTGTTGCTTTGCGCTGACAGTCGTCTCTCTCTTTGTACAAGTCAAGAAAGTCTGACAAGTACTGAGTCTTGTACTTGTGCAGCTGAGTGTTGGGATCATTATCTGACAGATATTTTCTGTGCATTTTCAGGAACTCCCTTGTGGCAATGCCGCAAATATGAAGTTTCAGGTCAATCTCATACTTTGTGTTTGTTTTGTGTTGCTTGTCACTTTGCTGAAGGAATTCATTGATTTTTTCGAGAAGATCCCTTGTGAAAGAGTCATGGTAATCTCCATCTGTATTTGCTTTATCATGTATAAACCGTGTGCAGGACTCAATGACATTGTCTGTAAAGCTCTGCAAATCTCCTGTCCGCCAGTGTTTTACCATTTGGTTGAAATACATTTTCTGGACATGGCCTTTGTGGGTTTTAAATGGACCTCTCCCAGCTTCCTTTAGGTCTACGTCCTGTAATTCCTCATTGACATTCCGGTTTGAGAAACTTTTTCTCAATTGCATCAGTACACATCTTGTGATATCTCGCTCTTTCAGGCCAGAGATATTTGCAGTGGCTTTAGCCCACATGTCTTCAAACACATCTGTCAGCTGTTCATCAGACAGTTTGTTGTCTTTGCAGTCACTCAGGAGCTTCATGACCTTCTCTTCAATGACACCTCTGTATTGTCTCTGTATGTCCTGAGCTTTTTCTGTACTTATTTTTAGCTCAAGGATACAATGTAGTTTTGTTGACACAGATTGTTGAGTTTCCTTCGCAAGACTATTGATACTTTTGATGAAGTCAATTTTGTACTTTTCTATCAGATTTACGTGTCTGTCTTTGCTCTGGTAGTACTCGTGCAGTTTTTTTGTCATTATTTTTCGTTCATTTTGAATTTTGCTGGACACTTCAGATTTTTTGGATTCCACCAGTTCAGACCAAGTTCCCAGTTGAGATTCATTGTCAGCATTTTTGATTTCTATCTCTGCTTCTCCCTGCCAGGACAGAATCTCTTTTCTGAACTCCCATTCCCATTGATTGAAATGTTTGCAGAGGTTGTCGTAGGCATGAGCCACAAGAGTGTTTCTGAAACTAAAGATGAAGTTCTCGTACTTCAATGCCTTCCAGAGACTTTTCATCCACTCTAGAAACTCTGGGATCTGTGTGGTTTCATTGCTTCTGTCACTTTTCATTGTCTCCAAAAGATTTTTCTTGAAATCTGCCACAGCTTCACTGTAACCTGTGTTCACTGGTGCCATTGGAGGGGTTCCATGCCAGAGTCCTGGGATGTTCCAGTTGTTTTTTTCTATGTCATAGTCCAGCACATCTGTGAATGCTTTGACAGAAGGCTGTCTGTCCATTCCAGCAACAATTTGAGTCATTTCATTGAGTTGGTCCAAGAGATGTTGTCTGTCTGTCATGCACTTGGAATCAGCTGAGACTCCTGCAACATTTTGGTGAACAAAATGACAAACTGGCTTTTTCCCAATTTGCTTCATTCTCAAGAATGCATGAGCTGTGATTTGCAAGACATCTTTCATTTCATTTGCGTTCTCCATTGCGATGTTGATGATGGTTACATCACTCAAGCCGATGACAAAGGTTGCCAACTGGTTGTCATGTTCATAACTGTCCCCCAGTTGTGCCAGATCAGGAGATTTTAAACCCTCTGTGTCAATGAGAACCACAAAGTCATAATTCAGCTCCCTTTTCAAATCTTCTCCGACTCTAAGGAAGACCATGTAGGCTCCTCTTGTACATCTGCCACTGCTGACAGGAAACTTCACACCAAACATGGTGTTGAGGAGTGTTGACTTCCCTGAACTTTGAACACCCAGCACAGTCAGTACCAACAATCTGCTGCTCTCTCCAACCTTCTTGTGGAGCTCCATCAGCACATCTGTCACCCATCTCTGTGGGATATTAGAAGCATCTCCATCCAAGAGCTCTAAAGGATAACCATCCAACAGCATTTCAGCAGCCACACCTGGTAGATGAGACATTTTATCAGCACTTTCTTGTGAGTGCAAGGAAACCTCGTAGATCAGTCCCATCTCTCTCATGTAATGCTCTATTCCTAAAGAAGCATTCAAAAAAGTTTGATCCAACTCTGCCATGACTTTTGCATCTTTTGCTTTGCTTGCCTCTTTGAACTTGTTACGCAGTGCAGACAGTTTGCTCCGTGATTGTGTATCAAGCTTGAGTTTCATCCACTTTAGGAAAAAATCTCTTTTTTCTTTGTCACTTGTAGATAAGTTATCAATAAAAGTCTTCATTCCTTCAGACAATTTGTATTTCTTTTGCTCCTCTTTGATTTGTTTTTGCTCCTCTTGCAGCTTAGCTTTATACTCTTCCAGTCCTGAGTCACCAGAATTCTTCAGTCTACACTCCTCCTTTTCTAATTGTGATAACTTTTTCCAGTTGTCTTCCTGCAAAAGAAGTTGTTGTTTCTTGTAGTGACTGTTCACTTTAATGTCCTTTACCATCTTCTCAGCTGCCTTCTTTTGGTCGTCACTGCTACATTCATCTACAGAAAGACCAAATTCAGTTGCTTTTTCAAGCATACTGTCAATGGTTGTTGCAGATGTTGATGAGGTCTTGATGGCTTCACATAGTTTCTCTGAAAAATCTGCAGTGTTTACTCTTGTGCGTTTTGTTTTCACATTGCTTTTTGGCAAATGTAATGTTTCCATTTTTTTCTTGATAGACATCATGTCCTCTGTGGCACCATCATCTCTGCGATTAACTACCAAGAAGAGTTTTGATGTTGTATCTTGAAGAGAAGTCAAAATCTTGTGCTCATTTTCTTCAATTTTGTCCAGAAACACAAAGGTAGCAGTTGATACTTGATAAAGAAAGTTGAATTGTGCGAGTGACTCACAGATGTCTCCTCGTAAATTGGCGAAGGCGACTGGCTCTGGAAAT